TTACAGGCTAATTTATTTTTCTTTCTTTTTTTGTTTCAACTTTTCTATATTTGTAAAGCTTTTTTCTGTTAAGCATGTTTTGCTTTTTAAAGGGTTAAAGTGTTACTAACTGTACAAAGTAGAATATTTTTAAATGCCAGATAGATCTTAGACTTTTTTTTCCAAAGGAAGCGAGATTGAAGACTTCAGAACAGCTTTGATGAAGGCAGGGGAAGGGAAAGAACTTCATGCAGGTGGGGTGACCATAGGTCCTGGTTTATCCTGGGACAGGTTTGTGCCTGTTGTCATAATGTAATTATTAGTGGCATTCCCTTAGGCAGTCTGAAATGTCCCAGTTTGGGATAGGAAGTCTGGATTTGAAGGCTTCATGAATTGAGCCACTTGACTAGCTCACGGTAGTTGTCTTGGGTAAGATCGGAAAGAAGACTAGCTGAAAGGAAGATTGAGCCCAGCCCGTTGAATGCTAATGTGAGATGTTCTCCTGCTGATTCTAGAACTGGAGGAGGAAATATTCCGGAAGGGATTGGACTTTGTATAATGGTGCCAGAAAATAAGGAAGTGTAAAACCACATAGTGTCCAGGGGGTATGTCACAATGACACAGGAGACAATTGAGAGAGCGCCCTGTAGCCAAAGCTGGAACAATTTAAGCAATACAATAGTATTGGATTATGGCCCAAAGTATAAAATAAATATTCATGAGTTCATACTGATAAATAAATGATTGACGCACTAAGTAGTTGATCTCATGTGCAGAATTTCCAGTGATTTATGTAGCTATTCCTCCCTCAAGGTAGAGCACTTCTTGATGTGGGCTGCGCATAGAGTCTTCTTCCAAAGAAGGCACTATTGGAAGGGGCTCAGGGTAAAACCTGGGAAGCACTACCTCAGCCAGGTAGGTGATCAAGGTTAATACCAATAGTGATACATCATGATAGCATGTGCCCTTGTTAGGGTGTGATGAGAATGGCATGTTAACCTCTGTGATCTGCCTCCCCACAACCCATCATCCCAGTATAATCATGAGAAAAACAGACATTCTAAGGGAGACACTCTATAAAATAGCTGACCAGCATGCGTTAAAACGGTAAAGATCACACAAGAGAAGGGAAGTCTGAGAAACTGTCACACATATTGTAATGTGGTATCCTTGATAGGGCCCTGGGACAGAAAAAGGTACTTAGGTAAAAACTAAGGAAATCTGAATAAAGTGTGGGCTTGAGTTAATAATAATATATCAATATTAACTCATATAATTGTGACAAATAAACTAATGTGGTGGTGGTGGTAAGTGCTATCGAGTCAGTTCCAACTCATGGTGACCCTGAATAGGATTTCTGAGGAGCTACTTATGGGTTTGAACTGCCGACCTTGCATTTAGTAGTTCAGTGGTTATCCTGCAATGCCACACCAGGATTCCAGTGTGTTAATGTAAGATGTTAATAATAGAGGTACAAGTGGGCTTCAAAAAAATCATGGAAAAATGGAATTAAAAGATAATGGACTGTTCCATGAATTTTTTGAAGCCCGTCAGACTGCAAAGTCATTGGAAGGGCGGTGGTTCAAGCTCACCAGCTGCTGTTTGGAAACTCTATACAGGGTTGCTATGGGTTGGAATCGACTCAATGGCACTTAACAACAACAACAACTGTATATGGGAATTATGTACTATCTGTAATTTTTCTGCATTTAAAAAATTTGCTGATCTAAAACTCTTTAAGGGTTTTTTGGTTTTGTTTTGTTTTATAAAGAACATTTTCCCACCAGATAGAAATAAGACTTAAACATGAGTTAAGAAAATAACCAGAATAGTGTGATAAAATTTTATTTATAAAGTCTTCTGTGCTTCAAGTGGAAATAAAAAAACAGAGACCTGGTTCAATTCTGCACAGGGCACTTAACCTTTCATCTGTGTGCAAGCACCAAGTTTAGCACAAGCTTTCTTCCTTATGATAATGCTCTTCTGTGTCATTTTCAGTCTCGTAGAATAATGAACCCCTTCTAATTCCACAGTGATTTAAGAAAAGATAGTTTAATTAAGTGATTTTTAATCATTTCTTCAAGTATGGTTAGCACATTCGTATAAAAAGGATGTTAAACTATTCGTCATCGTTAAGTGCTGTTGAATTCTGACACCATAGCGACTCTGCATAGGGTTTCTGAGAAGCAGTTGGTGAGTTTGAACCACTGACTTTGTGGTTCAAACTGACCTTGCGGTCCAGTACCTTATCCCATAGGAAGTCAGGTGACCTGATTGTTTATTCCTGGTGCTGTTTGTTATTCCTGGGCAGAGTGACCTTGGGCTAGTCACTGGATCTCTCCAGATCTGTTTTTTCATCTACAAAACAAGAGGGTTGAACTGGGTAAATTTCTATGGTAACTTAGAGTTCTAAAAATACTGTGGTTCTAAATTAAGATTTAGAGAGAGGCTGTGGCAGTACAAATAATGGGATCTTAGTTCCTAATTTCTTGGTACCTAGTCTGTTGTACTGGGCGCTCAATTAAAATCAATTTGAAGAGCTTTCTGAGAATTCTTTAGATACATGTTTACACCCCATTTTCTCAGAATGGAGAGTCTATTTAGAGTCCAAAGTTTGAAAGTTGAAGGACCACCATCTATTCCGACTTACTTGTTTTTGTTGTTAAGTTTTACAGCATAAGAAACTAGGAGGCTCCAGAGAGATTGTGACTTGTTCAAACAACAGAACTAGTCAGAGAGAGACCAGGTCTTCTGACTCCTAGTCTAGAGCTTTATATCCATAACACACTTCTTCTTAAAGAAACACCATCAATCTGAACAATGCCACCAGGACCATGTGCACGGGAACCAAAATGGCAGTTGTCCACTGTCCTAAAGCATTGTACAATGTCAGTCCACTCCAGTCTCTGACTTGGGGGAAAGTAACTGAGGGCATGAAGATGTGCCTGAGGAGACCATCTCTACCTGAACTTTCCGTCTTTAGGTCTGAGAAAGGGAAGTAACAATTTCATTTTTCATCTCTTTTTCAGCTTCATAGCCTGTCTTTCCCTTCAGTAATTATATAGCCAAAGATTATTTGTTTACAGAAGCCACGTGAATCAGTCAGCCCCCAAAGGGTTAACGCTCCCAAATTATGGGGCTGGGTTAACAATAAACAGGATGTCCTCCAGAAATTAAATTTAAACCACAGTGACTCAGGCTGGCCCATCCTCTCAACCAGATTGTTGTCTGGGGTTATTATCGGTAGTTAATTATACCGTTGGGTTTAGAAACAGTGTTGGTCAGTTTGGGCCAAATCAGACCAGGCTTGAGAAGGGGGTGTGGAGGGAAGTGTGGGATCTGGGCCCTGGAGGACTGGATTAGTTGCAGCATTGGAGACCAGAGCTTTGCCCCATCCCAGAGAGCTGAAAGGAAAGTAGTGAGAATAGCTGGTTTAGTCTGGTTCCGGCAGGCCTCTCCTGCTATCACCCTTGTCCCTGAGCTAATTGCAGGGATTCTTTACTCACTTCACTTCCCAGAAGGGGAGAGACTTACCATTGCTATAGTGTGTAGATGGCACAGTAGCCCTGGTTGTGCAGTTGTTAAAGCACTCCACTGCTGGCCAAAAAGTTGGTGGTTAAAACCACCAGTTGCTCCACAGGAGAAAAATGAGGCAGTTTGCTTCCATAAATATTATTGTTGTTAAGTATATGGAGTTGGTTCCAACTCTTAGCACCCCTGTGTAGGATTTCCAAGGAGCCGCTGATAGGTTTGAACTTCTGACCTTGTGGCTAGCAGTCCATTGCTTGTCCTATAGCGCCACACCAGGACTGCATAAAGGTTGTTGTTAAGTGCCATCAAGTCAGTTCTGACTCATATCAACCCTGTATAGGATTTCTGAGGAGCAGCTGGTAAGTTTGCACCACCAGCCTTGTGGTTCAGACCAATTTTAAAGTCAGGTGCTTATCCTACAGCGCCACACCAGGACTCCATAAAGATTACAGCCATGGACACCCTATAGGGCAGTTCTAGTCTCCCCTCACTATGAGTCAAAAATGTCTCAGTGGCAATGAGGTTTTTTTTTTTGTTTTGGTTTGGTTTTGGCTTATCTGGATGCACCAAGTTTACTTTCTAGCCTGACTCCAGTTCCTTGAGGCTCAGAATTAATAGAATCAGTCGACTCTTCAGTGCCTTAAGGAAATTCAAAATCATCCAGTTTAACTCTTGGTTTTATAGAATAAGAAATTAAATCACAGTGCAGTAATTCCTGTCAAAGGGCAGGTTATTAGAGGTGGAAGTTGGGCTAGTGCTCAGGTTTGGACTCCCAGATCTACGCTGTACTTTTATGCCAAGCCACCTGCTAACCCCATCTTCCATTTGAAAGTGAGCAGTCGGGTGGAGCACTTCATAGCAACTTCAAAGCAGACTTGGGCTGAATTTCAAATCAAGTTTGTTAGGTTTCAATTTCTGTCAATTTTCAGAGGGAACTAACCCAGCCTGGCCAGTCGTTAATGCCCCTACAATTTGTCATCTCCCCAGGCACCTAAGGAGCTCTTCAGATTTGCAGTTTATCTCTCTATAGGGAAACAGGGAAGAACTGATAAGTGATGTTTATGGTGTTTTTAAAAGACTATTTTCCAGGATGATAGTTATTTAAGTAAACCTATCATTTCAAACTTTGCAACTCCTCAAGACACAAGGTTTATAGTTATTATTATTCTTACATTATCTCCCCTCTCCTACCTTCACCTATTAAGTGTGTTTAATGACAAACTATGAGGAGACAAAAACACTCTGGGGCAAAGGCAGCACCCAAGAACACTGCTGATGGCAGGCAGTAGCGTCCTAGAACCAAGCCTAATGCTAGCACTCCTCGGCCCACAAGGGCACTAGATACAGCACCAAGTAGGTAGCCACAGCCACTCTTCTTTACCCTCCTAGGGGGAAGTGGCCCTTGTTGTGTCCTTTATCTTCAGCCACATTTCTTCTCTTCTGCCCTATTTCTCATTATGTTCCTCTGTCTCTTTCTCTTTTAGGATTCCTTTTAAGATCGGGCAGCCCAAGAAACAGATTATCCCTAAAACAGTGAGTATCCCATTCCTGCCTTTCTGAGATTCACTTTTGTGTCACATAGCCTTTGTGAAAGAACCAGAGCTTATTCTAGTCCTATAGATGTAGACCCTCATGTAGACTGGGGCTTGCAGTCCTGGAACATTCTCCTGTCCTCAGACATTCTCCTCCCCCTCTATTTCTACTTGTTCCCCAGCCTGGACAAATAGAAGAGGTGGCTTACAGACGTGAAGAGGGAGACACTGCTTCTGATTCGTTGTGTCTAGGATTGATATAAGGAGCTCTGGTAGTATAGTAGTTACAAGTCGGGCTACTAACTTCAGGGTCAGCAGTTCGAAATACCAGCTGTTCCAAGGGAGAAAGATGAGGCTTTCTGCTCTCATAAAGTTTTACAACCTCAGAAACCCTATGCAGGGTCTCTGTGAGTCGGAACCGACTCCACGGCACATAACCCCCACAGCCACCAGGATTGGTATGGTAGTCTGCACTTTTCCTAAGAGGGCTCTGGAAACATAGGCCCCAAATACATCTGCATTGTAGTATTTCTGGCCACCTCGGCTTGATAAAATGGGAGTACTGGTGTGGTGCTGTGGGCTAATGTGTTGGGCTCCAAAGTTGGTTTGAACTGCAAGGTTAGTGGTTCGAGGTCACCAGCCACTCCTCAGAAAGCATTTTCAGGGTCACTGTGGGTCAGAACCGACTCGACGGCACTCAACAACAAAATAACAAGAGCTTGGTGAAAGACTGGTAGTTTCTCCAATTGGTCCAAGCCCCTTTCTCTCCACTGCTGTGTGCATTCTTGACCACCAATTCAGAGATACTCAGTGGGAGAAGATAATTGAGTCATGTTCCCCACCACCACCCCATTCCCCCCCTTATCCCTCTTCTAAGGCCACAAGTTTTACTCCTGTTTATCTCCAGAAGGGGAGAGGAAGAGAATTACAGATTTTAAGGAAGTTAGATGTGGAATCCCTTAGAGATCATCCTGGTTTTTCATGATGAAGAAATCAATAATTGTAGTGACTTTTGTAAGAGGATAAAGACCTGATACAGGGTAGAGCTGAGATAAAAAGTCCCGTTTGAACTTCTCTTCAATACTATTTTCATAGTTTTAAGCTGCTTCTGGGTCTTCCACAATGTTGGAATTTTAGTCAGGAATAGACTTTTCAGTCCCTTCACCCACAAATGTGAGCGAGTCTTTTGGTTTTAACATGGAAGACCCTAACTGCAGAGCATCTCATTATGACTCTCCAGGAAGTCCAGCACTGCCAACACGTGTGGGGACCCTTGTCTCCGCCCCTGAGAGTTCTTGTCTTAACAACTTCTTCCCTCTTGGCTGAGGACTCAAAATGACAGGAAAGACATTACTTCAGTTTGGCGGGAAGTTCGGCACACATCTGACCAGTGACTCTATCTTTGGGAAGCCCAAAGTTAGGTCACTTAAAAGGAAATGGGCCAGAGTTAAAAGAGCCCTCCCCTTTTTCATGCAAATGCAGGTCACTGGCAAACTCTGAGTTTACCTCCCATGCTGTGGCTGACCATCTGTGTAGGCTCTCAGCTGAAACTCAAAGAATCTGGGAGTGCAAATGTTGGGCTCCAGCCGCCTACAGGAAGTGGGAAGGTGTGGCTTTGAGCCTCTAGAGTTTAATCCAGGGCAGATCTGAAAGGGAAGTGGTTTTGTGAAGGCTCTTTAATTCCAACATTTGCTTTTAAAAATTAAAAGTAAAATAACTCCCAGTATCTCAGCCTTTATAGAAATGGTCTTTGTTTTCCACAGAAACATGCAGGCATAAGAATGTAAGATTCCAGCTTCTTTGCCTGAGCACAATGACTAATAACTTTGAATGCAATGATTCCCCAGGAGAAAGACAGATTACACATATGAGAAAAGCCTTAGCTCCTATGGACTGGCCCATAGCTCTTGTATCTGTCTCCAGTGAAATGGAATTTGAGTTCGCTAACTAATGGCATCAGTTCTCCCAAACAGACTGGGTGTCATATAGAGGTTAAAAATCTAGGCTTGAGAGACTCCCAGCCTGTATTCCATTCCTGAGTCTATCACACACTGAAACCTTGGGCACGTTCCTTAACTTCTTTGAGCCTTGTTGTTGTTGTTGTTAAGTGCCGTAGAGTCGGTTCCGACCCATAGCG